TCAATGAGGTCTCTCTTGACCATCATATTTGAAATAGCAACCTGCCTCTCTCATTCTTACGGCACCAATCGTGCCCTATTTTTTTTGCATAGCATTTACCACTTTCTAACATACTATGTATTTTCCTTTGTTGGCTTATTTTTGTCATCTGTGCCCTCCTGCTAGAATATAACTTCCTTGAGGACAGTGATTTTGTCTCTTTTTTTGCTGGTATATCACAAATATACAAAGCAGTATCTGGCATAAAGTATGCACTAAATAAATGTTTGAGGGATTACGGGGAGGAAGGAGACAAGGGAGGGGGTGACTAGGGTGGGAGGAAGGGGAAAAGATCAAGGGGAGAAGAGATCTTATAATTTAACTTTGCTAATATTTTAGGGTAGATATGATGTTTGAAGTTTTGGGGCAGTAAACTTCATACTACTTGTTACAGAACATATAACTACTCCCAAAAATTCAGTGCCCTACATTTTTCTTTTTTTTTTTTTTTTTTTTTTTTTTGGGGGGATCAGCCCTGTGCTAACATCTGCCAATCCTCCTCTTTTTTTGCTTAGGAAGACTGGCCCTGGGCTAACATCCATGTCCATCTTCCTCCACTTTATATGGGACGCCGCCACAGCATGGCTTGCCAAGCAGTGTGTCGGTGCACGCCCGGGATCCGAACTGGAGAACCTCAGGCCGCTGCAGCGGAGCACGCACACTTAACCACTTGTGCCACCGGGCCAGCCCCTATTTTTTTCTCTTAATATTTGTTTATTTCTGTGGTAAGCCCTTTAGAAATACTTTTATTGCAATTTGTATATTTCTTCCCACTTTTCTACATGATTTTGTAGATTTTTCTGGCTTCTTAAGACTAATATTTATGTGAGTAAACATGGGATGGATTCATAATGGGGCTGGGGGTTGGCAGTGTGTAGGTTTACATGCCCTGGAAATTATATGTCAATGTACATATGTACATTTACTCTCGGAGGGTGATCTATATTCTAAAATGGGTTTGTGTCTCAAAAAAGTTTAAAATATTCATTGATTGTTCATAAGACAAATTAGGGGTTAAGAATGTGTGTCTTGAAATCAGATTCCCTGAGTGTGACTCCTGGCTCTGCGCCTTACTTGCTGTGCAATTTTGAGCATATGATTTAACATTCAGAGCTTTTGAATGGGGGGGGGATGCTAATAGTGACCTCATTGGTTCTTTGTGAGCATAAAAAGAGATGATACATGTACAAAGCTTAGCAGAGTATATGAGACTTAGTAAGTATTCAAATGCAAGTTATTACAATTATTAACATTTGTAAAATCCTGTTTTTAAATCAGTTATTTAAAACTGAAAATAATTTCCCTTTGCACTGCTATCCATACTGGATGAATTCCCAGACTACATGAGATAGCATGCAGAAAGTCAATAAATATATATAAATTACATTCTACACCTGGATTGACTATATAAAATTGTCCTGATAGAAGAGAACTCAACTTTCAAGGGAGGATAAAAAAGAAAGATCTCTATTCATTTGCTTACTTGTTCACTGAACTAATAATTCCTCAGCCCCTCCTTTCTGCCAGGTACTACTGTAAGTATCAGTGGTACTTTCCTTCAGGAAAATGTACTCAGAGTTATGAAATCCTCTCACACAGAAGCTCTGTGAGTGAGACCAAGACATTCCCCTACACAGTGCCCACCCCCTCGCCTGTCAGGTGGTAGCCCTTTGGACCTCCTCACCTCCTGCCATTGGAAAGAGTTCCATGGCTTTAGCAAGGCCTATACTCAGGGATATTTCTCAGATTCAAGCTGGTTTCCCCCTCCTGTTTTCTACTGACAATATTTTTACTACTATTAACTTTCTCCCTACCTCCATCTTGATCCACATAAGATAATTCGGCTTCAATTTCTCTCTGAAGTTAAATGTCTCCAAAGAAAGTTCCACATCTTTTTTTTACTGGCATCAATGGGGTGAGAGGCAGGGATCAATAATAAGAGAAGAGTAAAGCCCAAAATACCCACTACCCCCAAAAAAACCCTCAAAAATAAATTATCCTAGTAGTATAAAGGAATCTAGGTCCTGAAGTTCACAGTTCTTTCTCTATTTTAACAGCTTTTAACAGATTTAACAGCCGCTGCATTTTTGTTCTTGAAACTCCTCCACAATGTAAAGGACAGATTCCGTTTTTAAGGTCTGCCCACAAATTGGTTTAGTTATTAAACCTACCAAAAATGATTGACTTTGAGATAAGATTAGGTTTTGATTTCATTAAAAAGGCCAAATTGGCAATTTTTCATTGGCATCACTTTCCAGACAATAATAAACGAACATACTATTTAAGTCTGCCTCAAAGATGGAATGCCGTATACAAGTATGTGTTTATCAGTGTGGGAAGGGATTTCGCTTATTCTGAGAGTCTAGAACCAGTTGAAACTAACTAGGATGCTGTAGGGGTGCCCATCGGCATTTCATAATCTCTCAATCACCCTGTGTTTTTCTGTCTAAAGCATAGTACACTTTCTTCTTTCAGATTTTGGAAATTTAATTCAGACTCACTTCACTGACTCTGGGAGAAGTTAAACAAAGCTGTATTCGGCCTTTCATTATCTTTCAATTAATTATGATCCTTGGAACAATTTGGGCACGGGAATTTAAACTGTCAAATTTGCCTTCTGGGATGCTTTTCTTTCACAAATTCGTGTTTCTCAAAAGCGTCCCATAGAAATAATGACACTGACATTCTAGACAAGCGAAGCAGCTGCTTTTCTTTCAACAGTTCTCTTTGAGCTAGGAGGTATAATTCTATATCTATAATCACATCGCAGACTGCGTTTCAAAAACACTTTTAAAAACTGGCATTCTGTGTTCTGCAGATGATGAAACCTGGGATTTGTGTATTTGAGGAACACACACTTTGTGAATGATTTAAAAAAAAAAATTCACAGAAACTTGGTTGATGGCCAGATATACATGATGAATTTTCAGGCAGTCGTTAAAATGTTTGCCTTCAAAAGCCTTCTTTGGAAATGGAAGCCAGGCCCCTCTAAACCACCTATCTAGCTCCCTTTGTTATCTGCTGCCACAGCTGTCATTAATAACGTGTGAACAGAGCTTGATCTCCATACAACAGCTGGAAAATCGACAGGTAGTATTCACTCACCAGATGTTTTCTGACTATCTATGTGTATGAAGCTCTATACTGTGTCTTATGCAAGTAGAAAATATAAGACATGGCTTCTATCCTCTAGGAGTTTCTAAGCAAACAAGGGAGAAGAGACATTGACGTAAATAATTATGTCATAAGGAAGAAAGGGCCTCTTAAAGATCTGTTTTATTTTAACGTAGAAAACAGAAGTACAATCCAAGGTAATGTTTAAAAGCCTCACATAAGAAGAATCCTTGGTCTTCTTCACTTCACTTGGTCCCTTTCCCATTTCCTGCACTCCTCACCCCACCCCCACACCTCCCACAAATAAACACAGGCGCAAAGCCTTAAGATTTACTTTTCTCATGGGAAATGCTTCAGAATTTACACACAGATACCTTGGCTGAGGCTCTTTCCATGCTTAAGCATAAAATAAATTGTACAGCTCAGATACAAATCTTGCGCCTTATTCCTCTCAAAGTGTTGCATATAGTCAGGATCTTATTTAATCTTAACAGCAGGACATCAGTAGAGATTGATTTATTTATTAAAAGAGGCAATTGAGACGCACATAGGCTGTTATTCAACATTTCACGTATACCATTAGTTATGAGGCTGGCATTAGAATTTAGTTTTCCAAAAGCTCTGCCCAAAATAATTCTTTATTAGATTTTATTGATAGTTTATAACAATAATTAGCGATTCCTAGTTATCCTAGAATAACTAATCTCACCACAGAAATGGTCCCTCCACCCTACTAGGGAACGGACAGCACAATGTGATTCAAAGAGTTTAGGGATATACAGTATCAGGAGACAGTCACTGCTTTACATACTTAAAGTCCCAGCTACTCCCCGGTGAGAAATGATTGGATGCCCTCAGGACCCTCTTCCCAGCCATGAGCTGGGAACACAGAACTGATACTGGAGAAGCCAATGGTGTGTACAATTTGGATCTAAATCCCTAGATTCCAGTTTTACTTTTCTTATATCTTTTTTTTTTAATAGTCCCACAGATTATAACACTTTCCCCAAGTAGTTAACTGAGAAAGTACACTTTTGCTTCCGACTCTGAGCCCAACCCCCATTTCAGATCTCATCTTTCTTTTCTCTTTTCCCATGCTCAGATGCCCCATTATTCCTTCCTCCTGATGCTTCACCATACTGTAAGCCTTTATAAAACAAGCTGGAGGGGGAGTGCTGACAGAGAAAGAATATTAAATGCTACAACACAAGCTGCTCTTTCAGACTTTGTTTATTTTTCACGTTCTATGTTGACTTCTGACTGTGAAGGGTAACCATTTTTTTAGTATATCAATCAACCAAAAACAATACATCAATGCTCTAGTGATGTTCCAGGAACTGTCTAGCACATCATCTCTTTAATGTCTAGAGAAAATATCTACTGAATCTCTTCCCACACTTCACTTGAACGTCCTTCTCCCTGGATAAGTCTCTCTGATCTTTGTAATCTTATACTTTTCAATACAGAAATCTCTGCTTAAGAAAATAAAATGGAAAAAACTAAATTTCAAACAGGCTTTCATATTCATAAAATATAAGTATTCATAAAACAGCCAAGATTTGTCTATCTTAATACCTTTCATGAATTCATACAATAGTATTCTCTTCAAAATACCCTAAAGAACAATAGTTAACAAGATCCTAAATTCTCAAGTAAGCATTAAATGAATATGCATATTGAAAGTAAGAACCGATGAAAGGGTATTTTCATAAAATTCTAAGTCCCAGTCAATTATATTAATAATACCAAAGCTTTCATAATAAAGAAATTCTTATTCAGCATCTGTTTTCACTAATAAAAAAACCCACATAACAAATAGAACAAGCAAAACATTATGCTTCATTTACCTCCAAAGTTAAACTTGTAGATGACTCCTTATAAGCCTGTAAGTTATTTCCAAGTCAAGTCTGTTCTTGCTGTAAACTTCACTACACCAGATGATTCTTCATTGCACTGAATACAGAGGTTATCCAAAATTCTACATTAAACAGCAAAATAAAGTCAAAATTGAAAGGAGCTGACTCTGGTTCTTGTAATTTTCACTCCATGATTTGAGGCTAATTTTTTTTAACTTAGGTAACAGTAGATTTATTTACATGACAATGTTGGCAGTGACTTCTCTGAGAGAGAAATAAGGCTGAGGTATTGAGAATGGGTCAAAATTCCCTGAAACCTTTAGTTCTTATTCTTTTGAAATACTCCTTCTAACCAATTGAATTGTTTCACTTTGAAAACCCTGGTCCTGTTGTAACATAAATGCCATTAGCAATTATCTATGAAATGTTTCCAGAAATAGAATTGGCCTTTACTCCTTAAAGCAATATCTCTTCAGGCTTCAAAAAGGCCAAACTCAAGATTTCCCACATCCCTAAATGTCACTCTTTTACCACCTTTTAGATACAGCTTGCTAAAGTTTCTGGCAAGATTTGCTCAGGAAGCTTGAGAAGAAATAAGAATTTTGAGAAAAGAAGGATGAGGAACAAAGAAGTCACTGGAAACACAGGTGTTTTTTCGTGGGCCACTCCTTTTCAATCATCTTACAAAGAATGTGCTAGTAATATGCCTATCATCAATGTTTCCTTAGGTTACAATATTATATTATAATGATCTACAGGGCAAGAACAGGGCTTATGTGGTCCTATTAATTCAGTCCTTAATGCCGTGACAAAATTGGCACTTAATATATGCTTTTAGATAATACGCTATAACCCAATGGAGCCAAAGACATCATGAATTAGGAGGGTAACAAGCAAATTCCATTTAATTTGTTTTTACAAATATAGAAATTGTATTACAGAGTTTTATATGAGTCATGGCCACACATGGACTCCAAGTCTCTCTTCTAAGATGTCCCCAGCTTAAAGCCACATTGTGCTGAAAAATATTTTTGCCTAATCTTTTGGAAACTGCTTCTACACAACGTCTCCGTCAGTGGAGTGCACTGCGGATACATTGCTGTTTCTTTCTTTCCCCACTCTCTTTACTCTTTGCTCTCCTTCTTTTCGTCATCTTCATTTTTGTCTCTAGAGAATACTGTTAGTAATCCTGAGGTATTTAATGTCTCCCGTCTTTGAACTCTTAATCTTCTCTATACAACATAATATAATATTTATATACAGTGTTCTGCCTAGGTCATGTGGGCTTAACCTCCCCAGCTAGATGGTAAGTGTTTTAAAGGCAGAGTCTACATCTCATCATTTTTATCATCCCTTCAGGGCTTGCCCCGTTGTTGGACACATAGGAAGACAAATAAGGCCTTCCAATTTTCCCATGCCCTGCAGACCTCCAGACCTCCCTGCACGGGCCCTCCCGTGTTCTGCCACTGTAGAGAACTCACCTCTGACATGCTCTTTCCTCACTCCTGTTTCCTTACTGCATAGTGAAATACCCTTGTCCTCAGAGCCCAAGTTGATAAGTAGTTCTTTTAACAATAATCATCCATGATTATGGTGTTTTACCAGCGGCCAACTAAAGACAAGGCCTTGTCTCTCTAAACTGATGATGAATAAGGATCATGGCAAATCAATGTTCAAAAGATTTGGAGACATGTGGGGTTTTGAAATTCCTAAAATTACATAAAAATTACCTAAAATTACATAAAGTAGGTGGTCAAGTACTCCAGCTGGGCATCAGGCTACATTTAGTCCCCACATCCTGATCATTCAGCATGTTGCCTGTTCTAGTTACTTCCTTTTGCTTCAAGGGAAGCTGTTATAGCAAGTGTTGATCAAGAATGAAAAAGGTCACGCTGATTTTCAAAAGTATAAAGTGCACTGCAGAAAAGAAAAAGAGCAGGTGAAATGTTCTTTAAAAAAAATGGAGCTACTATGTTTGACAGACTTAAAGATAGAAAACAGAGCTCTGGAAATAGCCTAGAAGACACATAGGGAAAAAAAGCCCTCAGGGGTTTTAAAGAGCTGATGAACTAAGTGAATCAGAAAAAGAAGTAACTAAAAATGAGTTGACAATACTGGAGAAAACTTTGAATTGTTTAGAAACATTGTAACTCAAACATTAGTCACACTACACATTGATCTTAACCTTCTCACAATTGAAAACATGATGTTCGAGTGTGTGAGTAACGAAGCAGGGAGAGTTACAGTGAGGGAAATAAAGAAATTTGTAAAAGTTGGTTATCTTCATGTAATGTTTGTATTTACAGTAAAAGTACAATCTTCAAGACTCTCTGGAAGAAGACTGATTTATTTACAAAATTGTATTTCTTTTAAGATTGATTTAGATAATTGTGTTTCTTCAAAAATTTCACATTCCATCCAAGAGCATACGGTTAGAACCAGGCTGTCCATGAGTAGCTTATCAAAGGGATAGGACTGATTTGTGATTTGCAATTATTGGTCTATAATGAGTACTGTTGAATGGTTTTACTGTTTGGTGAAAAGTCTAGTTTCTTAATTTTAACATTTCATCTCACCATATTCATTTACTTGGTAAATCTAACCAAAGATTTATGACAGTATCACTAGAATTTAATGGAACAGGGCCACTAATCATCAGATGTTAGTTCACTTTGGTCTATTAGCTCTTACTAGCTGCGTAAACTTGGGTAAGCTACTTAACGTCTCTATGCATCATTTTCTCCTCAGTAAACTAAGTTACTAGTAATTTCTAACCCATAGGATTGTTGTGAGGATTCAATGAAAGAAAATATGCAAAATACTAAGTTTGGGTCAGCTATAAGGCAATAATTTATTAATATTAGTTGTTTTTATTCCTGTGGTGATACAGGTACCAAATCTTAAACCATAGCTTGTAGAAAATGTCTTGGGGAAATATTTCAAAATCCAACAATTAGTAATAGGGAGCCGTTTTGTGTTCAGAGATTCTGTCTGTGATGTATACATTTTAGAAATTTACTCTGAGCCTTTAACAAAAAGCAGTAGTAGATTTTTGGAGATAAAAGTAGACATACTAAAATGTTGATTGTCATTAGGGAATTTTCAAACTTTATGATATTTTCTCATAACGGATTTCTGAACAAATTAATTTTGTCTACGTGTCAGAGCTTACCATGGTTTTGGCCACTCTTCTGTTAAAATAACGCTTTAACAGTTTATGCATGGGCCTGGGATCAGCAGATTTATTGCTTCTCATAATAATCTTAATGTGTTTACCAAGTAAGTTGGTATAAAATTCTTAATTCTTCCTCTTAAATTACATTATTTTCAACATTAAATGTAAGTTAAATGTGCAGAAACTGTAATGCTGTGGTGGGAGACGTTGGTAGAATGGAGAGGTGAAAAGAACATTTGACTGAATTTTTACAGATCTGGATTCTGGTCCTGGATTTGCCACTAATAACCCATGTGCATTTGGCAATTATAACTATATAATAACATTAACAATCAACATTTACTCGTCTTAAGTATTTATATGCCAGACACTGTTCTAAGCTTTTTGTTTATTTGCTTTACTCAGTTCTTACAGAGATTATTGTCAAGAACTGTGAAGGGTCTGAGATTTTACCCTACTTGGAAGCTAATATTAGTCTGCCATAATTGCATAGATGTTGACAGAAGACATGAGACTCCTGGGTCAGAGACAAAGGTCTTTACTACTCACATCGATATTAACAGCCAGAGTATCAGCATTTGCACAGTTCTCTGAGGGCCAGGTGATGCCTACACACGCAGAGGGACATACTACAGGAAACGAATCTTGAGATTAGGGAACCCAAATCTTTTATAATGAACAGTAAGCATACCTCACTTTTGCTCCAGAGGGAGACATTATGTTGATTTTTCTGGACAGTAAGCAAACCTGTCCTTTGCTCTAGAGGCAGACACTCTCTTTCAAGGCTGTTGTATATACAAATATCTTTGAAAGATAGTCCTGAGCAAAGGTAGTCAGTGTCTCTGCTTGAAAGACAGGCGGAGACGTGAGAAACCTATGGAGAATTGTCTACTAACACCCATGAGTAGATATTATAATTAACTGATTTCATAGATGCAGAAACTAAGGCACTAAGATGCTAAGTGATTTGCCCAAGTCTTTTATGGAACTGGGTTCAAACTCACATAGTCATTTCCAAGAGCCCAGGATTTTAATTAGTGTAATCAATTGATATTCCCTTGAATGTAAACACTATTATTTAAATATATAGCAATGTGCAAATGTAAGTTCTAAGTGCCATCATCCCTGCACTTTACTTTTCTCATCTGTAAAGTGGGCAAGGGGTCAGGGGAGAGAGGGCTTGGGTTAGAGGCACTCTTTGAGATCCTTTCAGATTTAATATGCCATGATTCTAAGATTTAGCTCTTAGAATGAAGAGACAGCATGTGTAAGTGGATGTGATGCAGATTAGAAACACAGAGAGGAAAATAGCTTCTATTTCGTTGTCAGTGTACATTTTAAAATTTTTGTCAGGACCTTTGCCTTTCTTAATTGTTTTATGATATTCCTGAGAAAAATGAGTGTTGAATTACTACTTAGGATATTTCTGGGCTTTCTAATTATAGCTCATTGCTAGAGTAAGCAGATACTTTATTTTCCAGCTACCCATACGATAAAACTTCCTTTTTCTATAATATGAGTGAGAATATTATCTAAGAATAAAATGACGGCAGTCTTCAAGTTGCTCAGGCCTGGCATGTTACCAGGGAAGCATGTCCTGGATAGAGCATTACCAAAGAAGGGAAGGAAAAGCAAAGAAACTGTAATAACATTAGTGAGATAGTTAGGCTGAGTCCTTTTCACATCTAGGGAAGATCAAGAGATGTTTTTCTTGAGTTGGAATCTGGCTTTAAAACTATATTTAGATATTGACTGACACTCTAACCCAGAACATAATATCAGGCACTTTATCTTATCATCACAAGTTAGTTTGCGGTCACATGCTGCTTGTTTCCTGAAGCCTTTCGAAAGCTCATTTTCTTGCCAGAGAAATGCAAGAGCAGCCCTCCTCCTCCTTTACATGTTGGTGTTCGTTAGGAGTCTATCCTTGACCT